AAAACCTTTAAATATATAACTATCATCTCCCCAACGCAAAAATACATCTTGAAAATACTCGTAAGTTGTTTCCAGTGCGACGAACAAAATGACTGCCAACAGTGGTCTCTCTTTCCCACCCAGTTCCCCTTTTCTCTGCCTTTTTTCGCATTTTGTTAATAATTTGCAGCATAATTTGCGTCGTTTGATTATAAATGTATGATGAAGACACGAAGGTACCAGCAAACAAAGATCTAAACCATTGAATAACTATTTGAGTAAGTTTTAAATGTCAAATTACATTACTGCTGTAATACTTGAAATAACTATAACTAAATTGGTCTTGGCTACAAACACTAAAGACGTAGAATTGACTATAAATCTTGAAAGAGAACTGATTCGTTGTTTTCATTACAGGTCTGCATCCTATATAGGCTTGAATAGAAAGATGTCATTATTATTCGGTAATGTTTCTCTTCTTATACTTTAAGAGTTGCATGGAATAAAATATGCCACTTTTTTCAGAAGCAGTCATAACAGTATATAATTTCCTCAACATTATCATAACAGATTGTTCATAAATCTTGTGCCCCAACGTTTATTGACAAAGTTGATGCTTAGAGTAATGATTTCCTTCTTAAATGAACTTCAACAAAGGTTGGGGCATATTGGGGTTGGGGTTCCGGGTGAGGTGAGCCGAGTTGCCGCAACACAGACCCACGTAATTGATGCCCAGTTCTTTGAATTCACGTGCAACATAACATTTATTTTGAATTCTCGGTGCTAAAGACGCTGTTGCTTTACCTATTGATTCGGGGCAAGTTTCGGCGCAGTTGCATAAAAACGCCTGGCACAATACACTCAAAAGTAAAAGCTTGCCCCAAATTACGAGGTATAGCAAAAGTGTCTTCAGTCCGGGGAATTCATGTTTATGTGCAATAACTCATCAGTGTTCCACATTGCATTCAAATTGAACTCGCAAAAGGCTTATTGAGCACGACCCCTGCATTAAAAAAATATTTTGGTCATTGCAGTGTATTTATTTAAAGGATATAATTCTACCTGTTAGTAGAGCCTTGGACGAGATGAAGTTTGGCTCTTCTTTTGTTGTGGCAATACTTCAGTTTTTAGTAATAGATCAGCAAAATTACCAACGCCACTTGTAAAAGGAACGAATAGACCCGAGTGCTGACAACGTCACATGTGCAGTTTTCTATCTGAGAGGCTGCCTAGGGAACGAGTCGGGTCCGCGGTCCACTGAGCACGCACCATACGTAAGCACACGCACAAAGTGTGGCACTAATGGCGCAAAAGTAGGTCTCAGCACATCAGAAAGGTTATCATTTCGAAAGAACACTAACAGTTTAAAATTTACGTATTGGATGGAATTTAAAAGAAAAAACTTCATCTGGAAGGGTCTATTTGTGGATTCCTCGTCACTTTGTCACTTTTGTATGTTCATGCTTAAATAAATAGATGTTCATGCCTAAATTCTGTTACTCTGACGTGTCTAACGGGAACCCTTTTATATCCCATTAAATTACAACCGTATGAAATGCGCACCAGGCCCTTTTATCCGAATTCAGTTCGTCCTTGGTGGATACCACCAGACAGTAGTGCGACAATCGTCAGTTTGTATACTTTTCGAACCGGGTTTTTAGCCATCCGTTTTCCCCGTTCCGATTTCATATTTAAACTGCATTTGCCGTCCCGATTTTGCCATTTTACACCACGTACTATATTGCGGGTGATTGTCATAGAGAATGCCTTATACTGGTAAAGAACAAATTAATCCTACAGAGTGTAAACATAATTTTATGGGGACAAAAGTAGCCGCGTTGTTCAAACACTGGAAGGAGACATTACACCATTCATTTGTCACCAAGTTGACTCTTGTAATCCATACTCAAAGATTTGAGAGTTGATTTTAGAGCATTTTTAGTCTGACGGGAAAGTTTGAAGTCCATTTGTGTTGATATCAGTTCTGTTTAGGTCACAGAACTATAATATAGGTTAAGGACCACTTAACAAGTGAGCAGCTGCTAGTGAGTTGGCTCCCGATTTAGTCAATGAGGGTGTTTGCTGGATTTCTTTAATTATTGCATTTCTTTACCCAGTGTACGCCCAAACAGTTAAAAACTGATTTCCATTGGGGCCCTGCATATTACAAACAAGTAATGGTAAAGCAAGGATGAGGTACAGAATGAACACGAGGGGTTCTGGCACGAAGGCTTGGACACTATACGCTTCGAGTTTGACCAGGACTCCCGACGGTTTTCTGTAGAAAAGTACTTGGTGGTGGTAGAGTCGGCTTAAGTGGATATCAATAAAGTTGGAAAGGAATTAGCAGCAAGGTTACGTAGAGGCCAGGCCTTCTAATAAAGCTGAAGATTTCTTTCATTATTCTGTTAAATATTCACAAAATAATCTACAGGTAAATTGAGTAACCTTCTATCCTTTCCTCTGTTAGATTTTGTTAGTTTTTCAATTTAAAAATAAATAACAAAATAATCTACAGGTAAATTGAGTAACCTTCTATCCTTTCCTCTGTTAGATTTTGTTAGTTTTTCAATTTGTAGCATATTTTGACTTCTCTTTCTTAAAATAGATGAAAGGCATATCAGCAAAAAAGTAAAGAAAAAATCCATCCATCCACCATCTTGGAAGAAGCTGCCACCTTTAGAATTCCTTCAAGTTTTTATTTTTAAAGTTTTGATTGACGCTTCTGTTATACATATACTTGTGTACTTGAGATATGAACTGTAGCTTGTGGGTCTTGGCAACAAACAGTCGTGCAATGTACGAAATATCTGAAGGAGAGGTCAATATTTTGTTGTGTTTATTTCATGTCACCTTCGACGTAAGACATTAAAGATGACATTGCTGTTTCGAAAAGTTTTCCTCTCTTGTGCCAAAACATCAATATGAAATAAAATATGTCATTTTTTTGTCAGGAGCAAACATTTCCGTATTGCCCTTAATTAAAGTTATTATGTTGGATCGTTCATATTTCGTCCATTATGTACGTCCCGACATTTGTGGACAAGACTAATGCTAAGAGTATTGATTCGATTCCTGATTAATTTATTTTAGTTAAGGTTCGGGCAAAGTTTATCTTGGATTCTTGGCCGGGTGAAGGTAATATAATCTCCGGTACTAATGAAAGTGAACAATTTCCAGAAGACGTTTGTCTGAGGAAATACACCCCAAACAACTTGTCTTATTTCAACATGGTTCACCACGGATCATGACTGAAATTATTTCAGTGGCAATCACTCCACTTTGGGTATGATTTTGGCATATTTCATCTTGGATTCTTGGCCAAGTGAGGGTAATTTATCGTCTTTTCCCAAGAGCCAGTGCTTGTTGAGATCTGGCGTGTAGCGGGAGGCCGGCGGCTTGCGGCCCAGACTCTCGGCCAGGCTTCGGGTGAGGTGAGCCGAGTTGCCGCAACACAGACCCACGTACTTGATGCCCAGTTCCTGGACTCGCTTACCAAAGTCGTGGATGTCCTTACGGTTACACTGGATACAGTCCAGATTCACGGGGAACAATGACTCACCTTCAGTAAGCCCCGAAAAGAAAATAAATAAATTACCAAGTTATACGAACCAGGTCTCTATGGCAACTGCGCGTTGCCTTTGTCTTTTTGTCGCGAGGTATATGAAGATACGCACGAATGAATACCACTTGAGATGAGTGATATTGGACAATTTCATCCTTCTTTTTCAAGCCTTAAAGAACCTGTTGCAGAATCTACCCCAATTTTTCTCCAATAATGTTTTAGTGCATTGTTGTTCACACGCCGTAAAGTTAAATAAAATTGTGAGAAATCTTACGTGTCGTTCTCGGGCAAAGCACATTTTTCCCGGACAGTTTAGCCAAAAATGCACACTTTTCCAGAAGCGTGTTCCAGGCATGCGGACGGACACGTTTGAGCTTGTGAATCTCAAAATGACCATAACATCAAAAACCCTATGTAACACTGGATTGAAACTCTATATGTGTACTGCAAACGAAAGACCGTACGTTCATGCTTAGTGTCAAAACGATCGGGCATGTGGCAGCTGAGTTTTGGCGGCCAAATCTGCCGCACAGCGGTGAAATATATGTATAAAAGTACGACCTCTGCACTGAGAAGTGTGCTGCATATTGTTGTGTCTTAATTCCATTATTTAGAGAACGCATTTTACCCGTCAGTGGATCCCTGGATGAGATGAAGTTTGGCTCCTCTTTCGTTGTGCGGTACATCACAGGCACAGCAGCAAGAGGCGCCTGGGGGATAACATACAGCGACAAAACAAAGTGCACATTGTGAAGGTCTGTAGAAGCTTCCAACCTTACGATGAACATAGGAATCTGTGTACAAAAACTGCAACTGCTTTCGTTTATATAAAAGAATAGAACTCAATATGAGGCTTCACCTTGCAAGCGTCGACAGCTTCCTCCAGAATGGGCAGCATGGTGGCTGGTCCCCGTGCGCAGTTCAGCCCCACCACGTCAGCCCCAGCGTCCGCTAGTCGGTTGAATGCCTCACTGTACTCCACGCCGTCCACAGTAGCTGGCTTCCCGTCCACCTGACCCTGTTGGGCAGCAAGGGTCACCACACACGGAATATCTGCGTACATTTACACAGACACATGTAGGATGACTAAATTAAATGTTGCGATTGGAATATTCTGGAGAAATCCGCAGAGTATATGAATATTAGCTGCACATGTTGTGTGACATAAACTTCATTTTACATCAGAGAGAATAGAATCCATTTTCAAAAAATTATAGAGCCTGTTCGTTAAGGTCACGTGGTGAGCTTCTGGAACCCCCGTGCAGTCGAGCTATGGGGCTGCTTTATCCCGTTCTGTATTTTTTCGAACAAAAACCACCTTTAGTAACATTTTTATCTGTAGTGTTTTATTGTTTTGTTCAAGTAAATTCATAATGTTGTTGCTTCGTCGAATAAAGCAATATCCCCCACTTCTTGCCGATCCCCTCTTCCACTTTCAACAGCGCCAACGAATAGCAGAAAACAAAAAATGTCATCAAGCCATGGACAACAACATACGGAAAAACCGTATAAAACATACCTTTTGCAAATTCCTTGCAGGCCTGCACAGCCAGAAGCGCTTCGCCAAACTTGTCATAAGTTTCTGCCACTATGAAATCAGCCCCGGCATCCACAGCCCACTCTATCTGCTCCTATGTGTGACAAACCAGTTTTGTTTTAACCAAAAAATTACAGATTGTGTACAAAATGTTCAAGCCTTTCTTTTCTTCTATCGCTACTTTACATATGGGCATACTTATGAAACTGACTACGATACCAGTCTAAAATAAGAAATGCTAGGCAACTATTTCGAATATTAAATTAATTATTAACTAATTATTTCCGATGCAACTTTTTGTTTCAAGTCGAGCCCGTTATGACGTCTTGAGCCTTAAATAGGAGTTTCAAGTTGCAACTCTCATTTTTTCCACTGATTTGAGAGAGACTTTTTCTGACGAGAATAAACCCACAATACCCTTAATTGGAAACCACAGGAGAAGCCATGACGTTGTTCACTCGTACACTTTCCTTTGGAGCAGGTGGGAGCCCACGGTCCACTGACCGTATCAATAACGCTGCCACGTTTGACTTGTTCCCTGTACACTCTTTGGCAATAGTAATACAACTTCACATATTGGTAAAAGGGAACATACTATTTTCCCTTCAAGCCTCAGTTGGGTTATATTGCTTTGAATGGTAATAAAGCAAGATGGCTGAGGCTTGATGGGGGTCTACAGGAAAGTAAGGATAACAAAAAGGTCTCAGTTACTGGTATCTGTAAGGGGATCATTTCGATTTTTGATTGTTGATTGCTGAAAGGAAATTCTTGAAAACAACTTATACATACTTTAAAGATCTGCCAGATTTTCTCTCGATGATTGGGAACGGTGTCCACAAAGATGTTGGTGTTGCTGATATTACCAGCCATCAGGGTACCAGTAGCGTCTGCCACTTCACGTGCCATGCGCAGTGCACGCTTGTTGATTCGTTCCAGATCGTCCTCTCGACCAATCAGCGCCATCTTTTCACGGTGTGCAAAATACTAAAATATTCGTCGTGATAAAGAGATTGTGAACAAACATCCGTACACTGCATCACAATATTCTTAACATTTTGCCTGATTACACCCGGAGAAAGGACTAAAACATGAACACGAAAAGACTATTTAGGTGTCCTCGTCGTGATGCCACTTTTTTGTCTTTTGGGGGGTTATATTGATACTATAATTTCATTAAATGCAAGTACTTACAGTGAATGCCAGTACAACGTCACTTCCAGCGTGGACAAATTCCTCGTACTGTTGTCGGACTAACTCTGGATGTTCCAGAACGACTTCGGGAACATACGACCCGGCAGTCAAGTAACCGCAATGCTCAAACAGGAACAGATATCCCTCCGCGCAAATGACCGTCTCGCCATCACGAAGACGCTCCATTAAACCTATTAGAGTTTTGGGGCTGCTTTCAATGACTCAACAGACGAATATCTTTAAGTGTCGATTACTCTGATTCTTGGTTACTCTGTTTTGTCCAGTTGATTTGGAAACTTTCTTCTCTTTATGGGCATTCAACTTGCATGTTACGGCACATGCAAGATCAATTACCGGTATACTAGGCCCATATGCAATCATTTTATTCGTTATAGTAGCTAAAGGGCTAACGAGGCTTTAGGGAAACATTGAACGTAATTCCGTGTAATTACATGTACTGTATATCAGTTAAATCCAACGTTTGGTTTCATCATGCCAATGGGGAAAACGTACATTTTTGGCACTGGCTGTTTTGGGGAAGCAAAATAATTTCGAACATTTCAAACAACTGTGTGAAAAATAAGCAGAAACAAGGCGACTTATCGGACAAATTCTCTTCCTTCCCTCCCCAAAGTGTTAAAAATCCTCCAAATTTAGTCTTATCCCCTTGAAAAGGACTCAAGAAAAAAGAAAAAGGCTAATGAAAGAAAGTCCAGATTTTTAAACCCCCCCCCGAAGTTCCCCACGAATTTAAACCCCGAAATTTTCATTCTGAATCCACCCTTGCATTTCGTAACCCTTCTGACATTGTCTACAGATGTAGCCAATGTTCAGATCTAGAATTATGTCAAACGTCGTACTTAATGCCGTGTCGAACTCAGTGGATATACACGCCAGTACCGATGAAGGACTGACGAAGGATTTGATCCCACATGATGATAGCCGACACTTGGCACCCACCGTTCAACTGTCGTGCAGTACGGCAGAGACGGTCGTACGTGCGGCAGAGTGGTGACCTGAATTAAAATACTACGTGAAATATCGTGCTTCTTAAAATTGTTTTTCAATTAGATTTGCTCGATTTGTGTATTCGAAGTAGCAGAAGAATGACGTTTACTTGACGGGGCTAAGCTTACCTTTACACTTTTTCTTCGATTCCATGTTGTAACTTAACGGTGGTCCTCTAGATAAAGACATGCCATTAAAAGAAAAGAATGGAATTAAAAGGAAACATGGAAGTACATTTCCTTGCTGAGTTGTTCAGTGGCAAATCGAGCTAAACTGATCACCATCAAGAATAATGAGGCTGCTTTTCTTGGATTTAACATCACGACTTTTCACAATTGGGTATATTTCATTACATATTATTATTATTATTTCATAGTTGCGACTATTTTCACGTTTTTTTCTTTAGGCCTATATGTCTCACAAGACCAATTTGTCTTACAAGACGCTTGTTAATGCCGTTATATCTGAGCAATTATGTTGAGGACTGGGTTAAGTTTCTAAAGTAATATCCCCACTGAGAAAGGACAGACAGTAGGGGGATTTCATTTGCATCATAAATTAGGTAGAGGTACTGTCACTCGCAACGAACTGAGTTTGTTTTCATGTGAATAAAACAGAAATATCTAATACACCAAAATCGGAAATTTAACCTGAGTATTCCCGAAAATTACTTGAGTGTCCAAACTTGGGACTCAGTGGCGTAAGTACAGGGGAAGGGAGGGGAAGGCACGTGCCCACAGGTGCACCCCATTTGAAATCTATGAATAATCTCCGTTGAAGTGCAGCTGCAGATTACTTTCTTATGGTGCTTCCTTGAAAACCGTCCTCGGAGATTTAGCCCTAGTTACACCATTGTTGGGACTAGAAACAATTTAGACGATGGTCAGCAGCCACGTAATCATTGGTGTAAATGATGAAAAACTTGTGGGGCTGGCGGGAATCTTGTTCATGTTTTGCCTTAAATTGCGGCCCAAGGAGCTGGGACAGACCTCTGCGGGGGAGGGATTCTTTCGATTTCAATTTACATGGTGTCTGCTCTACTTGTCACTAACAAACGTACGAAGTTAAAGGAACCAGGAAATGAATTTTTTTAGAATCACCTTTTGTGAATCTCTGTACTCTTCTTCCATGTATCAAGACTGTATGACATCTTTGTTGAGTTTCGTGAACTGAACAGTGTACTTTTTCAAACATTAAAAATTGACCAAGCATTTCTGTACAAGTGACGGCTTTTTGCTCTGATGTAAATCCAGGAAGACATGGTTCAGGTTGCATGTTTTCATGTTCAAATTGTGAACCCCAAATTTGCTATCTGGGAACATTTCCGTGAAAAGGATATTTGCTGAATTATTCCCATATACTTACACAGTAATAAATTGCCAAAGAAAATAATATTTGCCATATCAGTGGTTAAAAAATCTAGAAATTTTCGGTGCCCAAATCAGTGCAACATTCAGATTCAGTGCCTTGGATGATATGACAGCATAGTTTTGCTCATTATGCAAATATGAATTAGCATAAAACAAAAAAATCATCAAAATACGAGTTAAAGTTGCAAAACAAAAATTTAAAATAAGGTTAATTGAAACCCAAAGATGCAATTTTAAGGGTTTTTAGTAAACTGTATAAAAATATTTCGATTTCCTGGTTCCTTTAAATTTCGTCTGTATCGCAAGTAAGCTACCTTGAAAGGAGAACTGGGTGGCTCACACTCCTACTGAACGCCTACACAGGATGTCCCAAAAGAAGTATACCGAGAAAAAAATTACTGTGGCGACAAAATTAATTTATAGATAGGAAAGAGTTTTGAACTGAAATCTGTTAAATACTCAAGCCTGAATGGCGGAGTCCGTTCTTAGAGCTATACATGTACAGGTGTCCACATAAAATATACATAGAGATAAAAATTACTGTGATGGCAAATCTATGGTGGGAAAGACAAATATGTCACTGGAAGGGGCAAAGTGTCCTCTTTGAAAATGGTATACAGCTTGTGATGTTATTGACACAGATGAGTGAACAAACTAGACCATTGCTAAAGGCAGGAGTTAATGCTGAACATGGATGTGATAGGGATGAAGGTGTGATTGGTGCGATTCCATTCTTGCCACGTTGTTGAACGTTTAATGTGGTATACCAATATACCATTTCCTGCTGCTAATCCTCGGGTTTCTTTCAACTTCTTTCAACTGCTTCTCTTACCAAATTGATGTTTTCCTGGGCCCTTCCAGTTCATGGACGTCCAGATCGACCTGTGTGACGCTTTAAAGTTGTGTCATACGTTTTTATATTTCTCCAGTTTGTCCGTTTTGTTGGCGGTTCTCTGTCAGGAAATCCTGAAGGCATCTTGAGTTTCGAGCAATATAACATTTTGTTTCGAGGTCCGTCTGGACAACAAAAGCCCTCTGCTCAACTCTTATGGACCATGTTTGCCGATAAAGTGAAAGTTTCCTACAGCATGTGTAACCTGGAATTTTGGCACAAGTGAGAGTTAACAGAAAAAGAAGCAAACGAACCGGGTTAAAAGACAAATCGCGAACTAAATTTTTATTTCGATTCCAAAGGGTGTAGAAAAATGACACGACAAAGGATAGAAACTTGGATTATAATTCTGGAAAACTTTTAGATGATTTGCCAAACTGAAGATTGCTAATTGAAATTCATCAACGAAAACGTTAAAACTATTTGTTTCCTTTTTCCAAAATGGATCAACTGGAGGATCAAAAAAGAAATGCAGAATATGCAAACAAATCGAAATCACCAAAAAAAAAACCAAAACGAAAAACTAAAAAAAACAACAACAAAAAAAAAACCCAACACAGCACCCAAAGAGGATTACTCTGTGCGCAATCTGACTAACATCCAATATCGCGGGGCAGACAAACTTTCTGGGCTAGTATATAAGTGTGGAGAGAGAAAGTCAGTGCAGTCTGCACCGATCCATTGCCTGTCTCCTGAATGAGGAATTTCTCACAAAGGCTGTGGGAAAACTAATAAGACCCTCTTTGTTTCAACCGATGGGTCTGCAATGCCCTGGGGCTCAGCTGCGAACCCANCGCAACAGTAGGGGGTGTTGGGGAATGGCGCTCCAGGTTCAAGATGACGTCTCAGGCTCATCCACTAGTGTGCCGCACTAGCTCATGGAAGCCCACTTGCTCCGGCTGGGGCCCTTTTACTTCCAGGAGGTACTTCATGTCGCGTACCCAGTCCTCAACTTTAAGAGCATGTTTTTCGGACCGGCTTCCGGAGAAGGTGGCGACATTCTTCAGCTGATGACTGGTGTATGTGAATGGGGTGCACACTCGAGGCCCGGGGATGGGATCGAAGCCTGCCAACTGTAGAGGGGTACTTGCAGCTGGCTGAACAATGGGAAGCAATGTATACTGGGGGTTACTGGCGCTCGTCACAACGGGGGTCACCACTGGTTGACTCTCAGGGCTGCAACCTGTCAGCAGTGGTTGCGGTTCCATCCCAAAGTGGAGCTTCTGGGGTGTCAAAAGTGGTGCTGGCTGCGGCAATTGTTGCGCAGCGAAGTGAGATGCCCCACATTGGGGTGTCCAAGTGGTCCGCTTGGAATAGCCATCCTACACAACTAAGCTTTCCAACTTCTCGCACTGTGTTGGGTTTGTTTGGAAAAAAAAATTCCTATTGACCGATTGACGCTACGAAAACTACAAGGGATCGCACACAAAAAAGAAATTAGTGGTTCTTTCCGAATGTGAAAAGAGAAGGAGCTGGGACAATCGAAAAAAAATAGTTGGCTGCGTTTCTTCAAAGAAAAACGAAAGTCTTTACCCGGATTCTCCACCAATAATAACTAAAAAAAATGTAACCTGGAATTTTGGCACAAGTGAGAGTCAACAGAAAAAGAAGCAAACGAACCGGGTTCAAAGACAAATCGCGAACTAAATTTTTATTTCGATTCCAAAGGGTGTAGAAAAATGACCAAAAGAGGATTACTCGGTGCGCAATCTGACTAACATCCAATATCGCGGGGCAGACAAACTTTCTGGGCTAGTATATAAGTGTGGAGAGAGAAAGTCAGTGCAGTCTGCACCGATCCATGCCTGTCTCCTGAATGAGGAATTTCTCACAAAGGCTGTGGGAAAACTAATAAGACCCTCTTTGTTTCAACCGATGGCTCTGCAATGCCCTGGGGCTCAGCTGCCAACCCATATGTACCTGGGCAGTGTTTATATCAGGGAACACTACTTATAGCTAAGGCTAATGCATAAACTAAGTGGGGGAAATCTTTGCCTGCAACACATGCAATACTTTTGCTGCATCCAGGAAGCACAATTACACTGTCAATAACATCACAAGTTGTACACCATTGCAAAGAGACAACACTCTGCCCTTTCTATAGTGACATGTTTCTCTATCTCATCATAGATTTTCCATTACAGTAATTTTTATCTCTGTGTACTTTGTTATGTGGACACCTGTACATGTATATCTCAATGTACCCCGCCATTCAGGCTGGAATATTTAACAGATTTGAGTTGAAAACCAGCCTGAGAACACAAAGTCAACACAACTTCGCATGGAACACCAGGCAAGCGTTACAAAGAACCCTAAGTTCTACGAATTTCACATGGATAAACTTCAAATAGCTTACCTCAATAAACGACGTACGATTTTACTTTACAGTCAGGTCTTTAGACACCACTTGCTGATGCAAGCTGTCGATCAGACTCAAAGTGCAAAGGACTGTGAGCCCGCCCACCTCAAGTGAGACGAACCCAAACGACTACCTTTGTCCTTTGGTGACCTTAGTCGTTAGTCGATGTTAGTCGTTAGGAGATCTTGTAAACTCCTCACATCACGCTTTAATTTTTTTGGTAAGCACAAAAAGCATGGGAAGGGGATGATTTTAGTAGCCCATATCCCCACCTCAAAAAGCGGGGGATATATACCCCATCCCCCGGGAGTTACGTCTATAATTTATCTGCAGCGACGCATTGGCAAGGAGAGATGGGATATAGGCTGAATAGACGTCCATCCAACACCACGTGAACAAGATTTTGCACCTGCAGATGAAGATTATACTCGTGCTCAAACGGATTATGATCAAAAGGTCATAGGGTTTTTCGTATCCAACACTTGTACGAATGATGTTGTTCTGAAATTGTTTCAGTGTAAGACCATGGAATCTTAGGCACTGACTCGCATTTTCACACTACGTTACCACGAAAAAAATTACTAAAAAATTGAAAGAATTCTTAGTCCGAAAAAAATGAAAATGACAAACATTTTGGTGAATTGTTGGAAAGGTGGAGCAACTGAAACTTGCTTATTTTTTATTTTTTCACGTTTGTAGCCCGCACGCTGGACATCTTGTCATTATTTATACCATTATACAATGACAAAGAGAAACATACCCAGTATATGCAATCATGTAATTTGTAAAGGAAGGAAAACTAGACTGATTTATGCCCAAGCCTCCAGACATGCACCACTCATACACAAGATCATCATTAATACCTAAATATTCAATATACAACAGTTCAAAAGTGAAATATCTCGTCCCATCTTAGCATCTTAGATGAAGCTTATATGCCGAAAGATTTTGAAAGAAATGATTAATTTGTGATCATGTCTTATGTAAGCATTGCGGACGTTGCCTGTCCTCCACCTGCCTGTCTTGATATTAACTCGGGAAGCACCTGGGCATCGAACGCAGAAGAACTGTCAGACCGCAGACAGTGAAGACCGTAATTCGAAATGTCAGACCATTTGAGGTCATCCCAAAGTATTTTTTGAGTTCTGATATAATTGATGAGGCAGTGTTAGGTAGGAATGAGACCGTCTTCTCATGAGGTAATTAACCCTACCAGCCCCAGGACCTCTTTGGTCATTCATAGGTTGTTTCCCACACTATCTTAAATGCAAGTTCCCTCTGTTTACCAGGCACAATCAAGCCACTTTTAGTGTATAACGCCCTCACCAGTCGAGATCATGAAAGGCCACTCTTGCAATGCCACCTCATTGACTACTAGTAATGATATCTAATAAGGAGAATTTTACTTAAGTTATTTTTGGAAAAAATCGGGGGAAAGAGTTCCATACATGAAGTTCACTTTACATGTACACCCCGTGTACAAACCCTCTGAGACTGGTCAGAAATATTACATTCTCAGGTGAAAAATCTTATACAGTTGACTCTCATTATAAAGAATACGGTTACATGTATATTACAACAAACTACTGTTTTAAAGAACAGATTTCACGAATCCCAATTTCTTGAATTGTTACGTGTTTCTGTGTTTGTACACTCCTTTTATAACAAAGTCCTGGTTATTACAAATCAATATGTCTGGTCCCTGCAACTTTGTTACAACGAGAGTCGACTGTACTCTGTGGCTGCTAAAATGGGCTTTCCTGGCCTCTAACTGATTTCTGGGAACCAATTGATACCCCGCCCCCAATCCAATGTTGCATTAAAGGCTGGCGTGCAGCCAGGACGAACCACTGCAACAATGGAATGGGGGGGGGGGAGATGGGGTGGTCAAAGGGGGGCCCACAAGCTAAACTATCCGAGTCTATGTTAACGCACACTGTGAAATGTTTTAAAGCATGGCATTAGACACATTGGTTTTGGCAATTCTTACAAATCATACGAGTCTGCTGCTTACGTTGGGTTCTTGTGCTACAAACAACACGGTTTCGTTTTCAAGTCATATTTGGCCGACTTGCGTGGTATGCACTGTTTAAAACCGAGTCGACCACTAAACTTTATCACAGTCTCATCCGGTGAGAGGTTTCGTTCGGGCTTATAGATGCTACGAAACAACGGAACCACAATGTCCAGTAGCGCACGAACGTTAGACAGTTTGTCACGGGGAGAATCGTCTGCTGTGTTGTTGGCAAGGTGGAGAAATCGAAGGAGTGCCATAAATCGGTTGCCAGACTTTGTCGACAGATACAAAGGACTTCAAGGAACTTCGCACCTGGACCAGTACATTGCGTAGCTAGGCCTTTTGTTGATGTCCATCGACAGCAGCAGTGCGACAAAGACCATATCATTTCAGGAACATCCGTTGGAATCCCATTACACTCACAGAGAGTTAGCGGATTCTGCAGATAGTGTCTGATTTGCATATCGGTTGGCCTCCCTCATGGCAATTGCCAAACTGCTCCACAGAAAAAGAGTTGAAATATCTGTAGAAGTGACAAATTCTGGCGGTGCCATGAAGTTCACAGGTTGTGGCTTTGGGTAAGTGGAGGTTGGTTGCCATCCAGTCCTGCATTATTGGAGAAAAAATATTAGGACTAATAATAAGAACAATATTTACAAAGTGTTTACACCAAACATCACAGCACTGTACATGAAAAAAAACTAGGAGTTAGGTAGGTGGGTCTTATTCAGCTGTTCACTGAAGTGGTGATAGATGGGGTTTCCCTGATTAGGGATGGACTGAAAGGCCTATTCACACGCACTGCCTGCAAACTAAATCTTGAAGTGGCATTCTGCCAAAGAAAGCGTGTTCTCTTTTCCCATTGAGGGTGATCTTTTAAAAGATGTTTAATTTCTCCTGGAAAACCATGACAGGTTACTCCGCATTGAGACGGCACAGTACATTTCAGGGTATAAAGAATAAAGATTGGAATCCTTCCTTTCCCTTGATTAGCAATTAGGATCCGTGACACATTAGGGACATCGGGAAG